ACTTAAAGAAGAGACACTTTAAAAAAAAAATGAAGATATAGGAATAAGCACCTGAAAATAGGTTTAACATCATTAGTCATCAGGAAAATTCTAATTAAAAACACAATGATACAACTTCAAATCCACTAGAGTAGCTAAAATGAAAAACCCTGATAAAACTAAAGATAGCAAGAATGGGGCAAAAGTGTAACTCTCATCCATTGCAAAACCAAGACCAAATCTGTTGCCACTGAGTCAATTCCAACTCATAGCAACCAGATAAGACAGAGTAGAACTGCCCCAAAGTTCCAAGGCTTTAAATGGGTTTCCAAGGCTATAAATCTTTATAGAAGCTGACTGCCACATCTTTCTCCTACGAAGTGGCTGGTGGTTTGGACTGCCAACTTTTTGGTTAGCAGCTAAGCACTTAACCATTGCACCACCAGGGCTCCTGCATTGCTAGTGGGGTGGGAAATGCTACATATCTGTAAATCAGTTTGGCAATTTCTTATAAAATTAAACATGCAAATACTCACTAATACAGCAATTCCACTCCTACATATTTACTCAGAGGAAAACATAACATATGTCTACAGATAACACTTGTATAAAATGTCTAAGTAGTTTTTAACACAATAGCAAAAATCTAGAAATAATCCAAATATCTATCAAGAGGAGAAGGGAAAAATAAACTGTGGCATCTTCATACAATGAGCTATTACTCAAAGAATAAAAATAACCAACGACACACACAACAACATGGATGAATCTCAAACATTTCATGTTCAGTGAAAGAAGTGTAAATTCAAGAGCATATATGGTATAAATCTATTTATATGAAGTTCAAGATGAGACAAAAACTTATCAATGGTAATAAAAGTTAGAACTGATAAATGAGTTGAAGGAACATGAGGAAAGTTTTTGAATGATAGAAATATTTTACATATTGATTGGGATGATTGGTGCAATTAGGATACATTTGTCTAAACCCACGGAATTATATACTTAAGATCTGAGCATTACACTGTATATAAATTTTACTTCAAATTACCTCAAATAAAAAGGGACATTTATTCTTTAGGCTTTTAAATGGAGCAAGCTCAGATCACTCCATAAAAAATAAATGACTAAATTCTCAGGTCTATCTATAAATATTTGGCACACAATATAATTGAATTGTAATTACCAACAACTTTGGATTTGTCAATTTTATTCATAAATGAATGGTTCTATTTATTTACTATTACATTATTACAATAACGTTTTTCAACTTCTCTGAAGTTCATATATAGGATTTTTCCTAACTATTTTACTTTTCTCAAGGAAATTTACTATTGACATTTAATTGAACTTAGATTTAGAAATTATTCGAAAAATGGAATGTAGTTTTAAGATTTAATATCAGGTTACTAACCCTTTTATGTAACAAGTACCTACTAGAAAAAGATTCCACATGGAAAACAAAAAGCATGGTAGATCTGATTTTGAGGTTCTGTGTCTTTGGGTTACACAGATAACTTCAATGAGCTCTAGATTCTTCTATACCTAGGCCTCCCTTTTGAAAAAAGTTTCATTAACTTCTTCAAATTAAACAACATTTCTTCAGGACCATAGTCTCAAAAGACAGTAAGGTCAACTGGCATAATATAGTCCAAAAGACAATGCTCTATATCCTACTTTGGTGAGTAGCAACTGGGGTCTTAAAAGCTTGTGAGCAGTCATCTAAGGTACAACTATTGGTATCTCCCCATCCAGAGCACAGAAGAGTGAAGAAAATCAAAGACACAAGAAAACAATTAGCCCAAAGGACCAATGGACCATGTGAACCCCAGTATCCAAGACCCTGAGAGCAGAACTACAGATGGTCCCCAGCTACCACTGCTGACAGCTCTGAAATGGATCACAATTGGAAGTCCTGGATAGAGTGGGAGAAAAATGTGGACGAAAACTCAAAGCTATAAAAAAGACAAGGCTTAGTGGTCTGATAGAGACCGGTGAAACCCCTGAGACTATGGCCCTTAGAAACCCTTAAAAGTTGGAACTGAGCTCACCCTGATGGCTCAACTTTTAGCCAAATAGTCCTGTAAAGTGAACAGTAATACCAAGGAGGTACACACTCCTTAGAATAATCAACCATATGAGATCAAACGGGCAGAATTTGCCCAGTAATGAAGCTAAGAAAGCAGGAAGGGGTAGGAAAAAAGTAGGAAGGGAAACGGTAACCACAGGGAGGAAGTGGGATGAGTACTGTTTCATTGTTGAGATTGCAATGAATGTTACAAAACAAAATGTGTATTGGTTGTTGAATGAAAAACCAATTTGTTCTGTAGACTTTCACCCAAATCACAATTTTAAAAAAAAGCAGCAGCAGCAGCTAAAGAAAAATAAATACATTAAACAACAATTTAATTAAACAACAATTCCAGAACAAGAGTATTATGGAGTAATGACTAAACCTGTAAGGGTGTACATACTGGCAAATCTTCTATTAGAAGGTATGCCTTCCAGAGTCCTCCCTGGCCTCTGTGAACCTGCTATGGCATTCATAGATCTCCCCTAGAGTCCTTCTGCCTAACTTCCTCTGAGCTCCCACCTACCTACACAGTCTCCCTACTTAGCCACTCCCAAACACATCTATCGCTTCTTCCACAAATAAACATCTAACCACCCAGGGCCATAAAGGGATCAGTAGTTAGTCCCAGCTCACTTCAAAAAGCTATGCTCTGGTAAGTAGGACTGAGCACTTTAAATCTGGATGATGAACAGATTTAAAAAATAAAAAAAACTTTATCAGCTTAAAAGAAAATTAACTTTGGGGACTGGCAATCTCACCATTATGGAGTAATGGTGCTCACACGTGGCATTGCCTAGCAACAGGAGGAGCATGCAAATCCCAACATAGGGGTGTAATAAATCACTTTCTGACTACTGCTTACAAATGTTAATTTGATGGGAAGATATTCACATCTGGTCCAATCTGGAACAAGACTTCAGAGAATTCTGCACACTCAAATTGGGAGAAGCAGTAGGTATTTCACCAATAACCAGGCTCCAGAACAAAGGAGATGCTTCCCATTTATGTATTTAAATATATGTGTGTGTTAAATATATATGATTTTAATAGCCTTGTTTTTGTGGCATTTAGTTTTGGCTGTGTTCCAACTTCTAGGGCTTCAAATACAGTTAATGAATGTCACAAACAAAAGAAGTTAGGTATGATAAATAAATAAGGGGCTAATCATAGTTGAATTAAACCACTTTAGAAGACCTAAAAAAGATAAAAGTCCAATTTGCCCTATCATCCACATGCTACTTCAAGCTCAGTTATTTTGAATCAACGTATAAAAAGAATCCACATACGAACGAGATCTGTGTCTGGATCGCCTGTTGTTGGGGTCTGCCTGGTTTTTTTCCTTTTGTCTCCTTAATACGGCTTCCCACTGAGGCGCTGAATCAACCATATCATTCTCCTGCCGTATTCTGAAAGGAAAACCATTCATCTAAAGTTAACATCCACACCATGTGGGGCCTGGTTTTTAGGTTCATTGTGAACTTGCTTTCAGAAGTTAAGAAGAAGCAATTTTATTATAATCACTGAAGCAAGAATGTAGTAACTGGATTAAAATACTCATAAGTAGGTAAGTATATAAAAACATCATATGCATAGATAAAATATGTAAGTCGACAGTAGTTATTTTCAGGCTTCTATCTCTGGCTTAAAATTTTCTAAGAAAAAGACATGTACCAAACAAAAACCATTTAAAACATTTGAATTTTCATTAAATAATGCTGACTGCTACAGAGCCAATCGTAAATCATGAAACAAAATCATTTTCATAAATGTGCTAATTAAAATAGCAATAAATAATTTTACTTTGAAATGCTCTAAAAAATTCACACTGTCAACGTTTTCATGGAAAATTGGTTCCAGATCTAACTTCCATTTTTTTTTTTAAATAGAAAACTAGAGGTACACAAAGTTACATAGGATACAATGCATTAGCAGCTAAGTAGACCTACCATTCTGGTTATGGCTGCTGACATATTTAAGAGGGACTGAGGCTGTGAACTCAGTGCCACTAGGGGACAGGCAGAGAATGTAAATGAGGGAATAGGAAATCCAGCGTGGGGACTGGGGGAGTTGGACAGCATGGCATCTGCTATGTGACAGCTAGGGCCAGTGTTGAAAACTTCATTTTTAAAAGATAATCCAGAAATCTGGGTTAGTTCAAGTGACCTTTTCTAATTTTTAAACATTGGCAACTAATTCTGAATTTAAGAAACTCTGTGGGCCTAACAGAGCCCTGGTGAAACAATAGTTAAAGTGCTTGGTTGCTAACTGAAAGGTCAGTGTGGTTCAAACCCACCAGTGGCTCCAGAGAAGACAAGACCAGGTGATCTGCTCCCATAGAGATTACAACCCAGAAAACTTTATGGGGCAGTTCTATTCTGTCCTACAGGATCATTTTGAGTCAGAATTGACACAGTGACACACAACAATGACAACAACAAATGGACCTAACAAAACCAACCAAGGACAACACTCAGCCTGCAGAAGTTTGACACTTCTGATGTATGGACTCTTTCTAATATTGAGGGTGAGGTGGGAGTGGGAAGCAAGCAATTAATTAAAGCAAATATTCAATGAATGTGTACATACTGTCTCCAATGCACTACAATGATGCTGGGAAGCTGTGTTACTTGCAAAAATCATTAAACACCAGTTGTAAAACTGATGTTATATAACTGAATATGTAACTTTTAAATTATGTAAGTTCTTCAGGAAGCTGCTCCTGAGTGTTCAGTGTGTAAACTGGAGCTCCAGAGTGAGGAAGAGCATACCAGCACTGCAAGGTAATCACCCCAGTATGTGATTGCAGGAACGGACCTGCTGTCAAACAAACATGGAAGACAATGCAAGTTTGGAGTTCTTTCTCTCTCAGGACAGTCCTGGGACTGACAGGGCTGAGTTAGACATAAAACCTGAGGTCTTCTAACTCCTAACCCTGGTGTCTTTCGGATGACAGCTTCCATTGTCAACTAAACAGTTCACAAGCAAGAAGAAATTTTGCAATGCCAACTTATACAAATGCATACTCCTCCCAAAGTACAGACATGTAAAAGGAAGGACAATTAGTACATGTTCACTACTCTTCTCCTTTGTGGAATTTAACTGGTTACTTTTATATTTGGACTTTACTCTGATGTTTAAAAAAAAATTTTTAAATCCTGACACATAAGCACACATATTTTCTGTACCTTGCTAGTGATAAGGACTAAGTCAGAAAGGATTTTAGAATATGGAACACAAAGATAACTTTTATTTTTTTTAATTAAAGAGTCAAAATATGGAGCTGCTGCCTGCAATGAAGCTCTGTTAATTAATACTGTGGCCCCATGTTTCAAAGACAGATGCCCTCTGCTGGTGACACTGTTTCATAAATATTCTAACAGGTGCATTAAAAATGTAAGGCTCATTGAGGAGTTACAACAGAAGCACATTTTCCTGCCTTAGTCTGTAATGACGTTTGAAATTACACCCTACAAAAGGCCGCTGGTTAATGGTCCCTCATTACAAGAATGAAGTGTCATTTCTTCCATTGCTGAAATGCCCCAGAAAACCCTGGTGCTACTAGGGAAGGAAATCTGAACCCCAGAAGCAAGAGTATTGACTTACTCAGTTCTTATGAGGGAGGAGTTAACTATTTTGTTTATGAGTAAGTGAATAAAGAAATCCAAATACTAATGAAATATCTCCTATAATGATTCTGCCTTTTAAATGTCACTTATTCTTAGCTACAGGATGGACAATTGTTGATTTGTTAGTCTGTTTTCTTTTGCTGCTTTTCCTATAATATTTTAACTTTATTGTGGATGGGGAATTATATTATGAAGAATAAAAAATTTTAAGCATTCAATTGATACAGCACATTTTAAAAAGCCAAGATGGGTTTTTACATCTTACACAGTCATGAATGTCTGAAGAGGGGAAAAGGAGTCCATTGTTGTTTACACTGGGAATCTATTCATTTTCATATGTAAAGGTAGACCTCAAAGTGGTAAATGTTTTTTCTGTCTGTCTCCTGATTCAGTGAGTCAATGTCTCCTATATTTTGCCCAATTCCTCCTCTAAGGAGAATCAACAGCTAGGGAGGGAAGGGTATGTACCAAGGCTTTTGTTTTTTAATTAATGTAGAAGGGGGAGGCTTGCTTTAGAACAGAGCATATTCCAACAACGTTTCAGAATAGGAGAATTCAAAATATATTTCTTCTATATCTTCTCAAACTCCAGTGGTGCATTTTTCTAGACTATTCATGCAATTTAGATTTTAATGCATTTGACAAGTAAAATTTGCAAAAGGTTTAGAAGATGAAATGCCATGTAACCGTTTGATAACAATAATAAGGAAAATGACTATTCCTTGTCTCTTCTGTCCTATGTCTTCCCAATTACAGTTCTGTTCCATCTCTTCTACACAATTCTTGATGTTGCCAAATGAATCCCCTTACAAGTCCCTGTAGGTCCCTAATAAGACCTTCCTTGACACCAATTCTTCATTCCTTTATATTTCTCTTTCACTGAATGAAAGACTGTGTTTCAAGCTGAACTGAGAAGTCCTACAGAGCAAATGTATAATGAAGCTTCAAGATGATACAAGCAACACTCATGGCTTCTGAGCTCTGCCTAGCCCCAGCTCTGCCACTAGCCAACTCGGAGACCTGGGCAAATCGCTTTGCCTTCTTCAGTCAGGGCTCAGTTTCTGCATCCATAAAATTATTGCAAAGATCTTTTCCAGTTCTACAACTCTTTGTTTCCCTATTTGTGTTTTGTTTCCAAATCAGCTACACTGAAGCAAACCTCTATTCTCCAGTTATATCATAATACTCCAGATAGTTGCTTCCTATGGCCACTCCATTGCTAAAATGGAATCTGTAGGTCCCAGCTGATTATGACTTGTGTTTCCCATTGATTGTACTCATTTTTGGATCACTTGCTATAAAGCAATCTTCAGATTTTTTTCCCAATAGTTTTTCTTCCCCAGGGAAATTTATGTTGGTTCCAGGCATCTGTCGACATACTCCCTTAAGACTAACAAACAAAAAAATTCATTTGTTTTTCCCACCTTTACCTACCATCAATAAATTGTTCTCATTTGCTCTTAGAGGTTCTTCTGTCTCCTCCACTTATTCCTTATGCTGCCCATAATAAAATTAGCTACCTTTGGTGCAATTTCCCTTTCACGCTCTCCTCTGTTTTCCTAATTTTTATACTGCTTTTGCCCTTACTCAGTGATCTGACAGAATTCCTCAGCTACTGAAGTTTTGCTCTTCCATGGTCTTCTCTGTCAAATACAATTACACTCTAGAAGTTCTAAATCATCCTTAACATCTAAACTTGGGCATGTTCTATTAAAGTGACAATCATAACACGGATTTGTAGCGCAAGGAGCACCGTTTCCATTGGCTCTGTATGAACTGCCCTCTCCACACCCACAATTTTCCCTTGCTCACAGCCCCTGAATCAGGGCAGAGCAGTAGAGAATGCTTGGAAGGAAACTGGTAACCTACATGGGACAATTGCCACTGGTTTAAGTTTGATACAAGCCCAAACACATATTTCTCAGGTACAAAGGACAATAAAATTATTTTATACCACTCTTGTTAGCTCTTGTCGGTCTGTTGCCAACTAGCTGATGCAACAGGATTATATTGTGACCCATACGGTTTCACTGGGTGATTTCTTTTTTTTTTTTTTTTTGGGGGGGGGGAGGTAGAAGGGAGTAGATCACCAGGCCTTTCTTCCTAGTCTGTCTTATCTTGTTGCTTCACTGAAACCTGTCCATCATCACAGCAATATGCAAACCTCCACACAGACAGCTAGTGACTGCACATGAGGTACACTGGCTGGGAAATGAACTCATATCTCCAAGTTCATATGGAGGTGAGAATTCTACCACCGAACCACCATGCTCTTTCATACTACTCTAACAATAATAAAATTCTACCAAAATGACCAGGAGCTCTGGTGGCATAGTGCCTAAGCATTTGACTGCTACCTAGAAGGCTGGTGGTTCAAACCCATCAGTCACTCCTTGGAAGGAAGGTTGGGCAATCTACTTCCATAATGATATTGCCTAGGAAACCCAAGGAGGGGTCTCAAATGTATCGCCTGATAGTTGTAGTGCTATATTTTTGCTACAGAATATGGTTTCTTAATTTTTCAGAAAAATAATATAAAAAGATCTTATGGAACAGGATTTAAGTATTCAAAACTCCTATCTTAATCTGGAGGAGCTCTGATAGCATAATACCTAAGGCATTTGACTGCTAAACAGAAGGTTGGAAGTTCAAACCCACCAGCCACTCCTCAGAAGGAATGCTGGACAATTTATTTCCATAGAGATACTGCTTCAGAAACCCAAGGAGGTGTTGCTATGAGTCGGGTTTGACTCGACAGCAGTGAGTTTGGTTTGGTTTGG